TTCTTTAATATAAACACAATTGTCTCGGCACTTGGGGATCCCTTTAATGTACTTTAATAAAAAACGGTGTAAAAATTATATATATATATATATATATATATATATATATATATATATATATATATATATATATATATATATATATATATATATATATATATATATTAATAGGGTCAAAAATTTCTGGAAATTTTCCAGGAAAATTTGCTCAAAATTTCTGGAAATTTTCCAAAAATTTTTATTAAACTCTGATTGCATATAAAATTTAAAAAAATATAGACTTTTATGTATGAAGTATTTTAAATCATCTTTATAAAATATTACATGTTACAACTGCACAAGCTGTGTTAAATATTCTAAGAATAACATTAGTAAACACGTTTGATTTTAATGTTCAGTAAAATAATAATAAATTAATTTGCTTGATATGATACTTATCAAACACACACACACATACACAAAATTGCCCACTTGGCAGTATTGGTTGAAAAATATGGTATACATTTAAACCATTTTTAAGTATAGCATAACTTTTAAAACCTCGAGATTGAAAGTTCTTTATTTTTATTGCTAACTATGTTTTTAAATAAAACTTTTAGAAAAAACTGTAAATATTCAATCAAGTCTTTTTATATATAATTGTACAGTTTTTAGTAACCTATAGGCCAATTTAATAAATATTAAAAAATTCCCCATCACTTTTAGGGGGTGCAAGCTATGTTTAGCCTTGAACAAAGCTTGCTACAACGATGAACATCAATATGCTACGCAAATAACAGGATAAAAAAGTTTTAGAAAATTTTGAAAACAAGTTATCATAGTTGCTACTTACAGATATAATAAAAAAACTTAACAAAATACAGAGATAAATTTTTTTCGAAGTGGGCTTTCTAAAATTTTTATGATCTGCCTCACAATATTTTACCATAAAATTTTCCATAACAACTGCATAAATATGACATAAAATTTTATCCATTAATTATAAAATAAATCTTTTTTTGAAAATTTTCCAAATTTTTTGAGTTAAAAACTTCCAGGAAATTTTGAACCATAATATATATATATATATATATATATATATATATATATATATATATATATATATATATATATATATATATATATATATATATATATATATATATATATATATATTCCTATAGTTTGACATTTAAATTTACAATTTGTGGTAAAACACAACTTTTAACGACTCTTTGTGTTTAAAGAAAACAAAATCAACTACACTTTTGGTAAAAAACAAAAATTTAATTGAGGAAACTAATTAAATTTCATCGTTTTTTAAAAAACCACAAAAATGCAAACTAATATACTGGAATGTTTTTATTTTATTTTTTTTTACTATTTACATACATCAACTGACAAATAGGGAGTGCAAGGAGTGTTGCTACATCAACTGACAAATAGGTAGAACATGCAAGGAGTGCTGCTACATCAACTAAAGGTTTTGGTTTGGGCAAGCAATCTACTAATTTAAAGACTCAAACTTCATTAATTAAACTATAAGAATTAGCATGAAGACCAGAATAGGTCTTTACTCTAATTTTTATAAAAAACAATACTTAGATTCTTAGAAGTTTAAAACAACAAGATTCATGCTCACTCATGTATGTACACTATTAGGCTATTAAGTGATCTATCATTTCACCACCTATACATATTACTATAATAAAATGTAATAACATATGTATGATGTAATTGCGTTATCACAAATTGTTTAGTGCACTGTTGCAGTCTACTAAAGATATCTTTAATAATAACAGAAAACTAACAGGTTTCTTTTATTGTTAAAAACAACATGTACCAATGATGTAAAATAATCACACTGTGAAATGCAAAAGTAAACACGCTATGCTTTTATTAACTATAGTAGTCACATATTATAGTTACAAAAAAAAATTTAAAGAGAAATTTACATATTATATTTAAGTACATTATGTAAGAAATAAAACAGAAATCTATGCATCACTTAATTTCATATACTATTTCATAACACATAAATCCTAGTAGTAACAATTTATTATTAAATAATATTTCCTCCAGTGCATTGAAGATTTTTGTAGGGATCAAGAAAGCAGTAAGGAACTGAGACCAAAACTATGACCAAGCCTCCAAGACCTTTCAAAAGGCTTCCAAGACTAAGACTATGAATCTTAAAGACTGAGAGCTTAAAGACTGAGACCAAGGCAATTAATTATAAGCCTTGAGATGTTTCAAAACCAAGACTAAAGTCTTGAGATCTACATTTATGTGTTATGGTAGAAATATATAACTCTCCCAATGTAAAAACAGATTTGTCAGAAAAAATCCTACATTACAAATTTATTTGAAACTATTTTTTACCTAGACTGCCTCACAAAAGTTACCTGTTGAAAAAGGGATTTTGTCAAAACTGTTTAACAAAATTCTTCGCAAAAGATTACTAATAAAGCTTGAATTGTATGGGATTAAAGGCAATTTCTTAAATTGGATTATTGCCTTT